CTGGTTCCTGCGGGCACGGCGCGTCCGCCCGCGGCGTGGCCCCGAGACGCCGAATCCTGCAACAAACACCCTTTTCCTTGGCGCTAGACTCACCCTGGTCCGCGGAGGCGGCAGCTCGCAGGAGCAGATACCACCTAGAAGAGCTTTAAAGTTGGGACATCTTCTACTCGCTCATTTTCCTTAGCTCCATTTTCCTATAATTCAGCTCTTCTTCTATAACAGCTAGAAAGAAATACTAACGCTTCTCTGTAACAGCACAGATTCCTCCAGCCAGAAGTCCCGGAGGTTTTAGTCATCTTGTCTTCTTTCTTAGGGAAGACCATGGCACAAAGCAGGTAAAGCAGTCAGAAGTAGCCTCTGATGCCGAGAGCCTGGGTTTCGGGATGACTAACTGGAGATTTGAGCCTGTTTCAGGAGCACCAGGTGAAGACAATGACACTTACAGGGGCTCAACACTTCTAAGTATGCTCCTAGTTTCACATTCCTTCCTTAATGAGTTAATGCATTAATCCTGGGGGGCAATTTGCCCCAGGTGACAGTTTCTGGAAGAGTAAGGGTCTCAAGAATTGAAAACGTTGCACAGAGCAGAAACAAGGGCAGCGTCACACCGACTGACTGCTTCCCCAGCGTGTGTTCTGTCCCCCAGCTCAGTGCAGGCGTTCCTGTTGCTCCTTGGCACGAGCAGAGATGGTCACTACACGGCCCTGAGCTGCTCCCAGCTGAGAAATCACTGCTATTCAGCATGGGAGCAAGGTCAATGAAAACAAACCACACAGTTCGTTAGTGATATGCTCAAAGGTAGCTAATGACCCTCATTATTTCTCTTGTAGGAGCAGAAAGGACTACGTCCGGGCTCCTTTACATGCTCCATGCACTGTGAGAGCCACACAGACAAGTCCGAGGCAGCCCAGCTGGTACATCAGAGCCATCCCCATGCTGGTGCAGGGAAAGATTCTGGCCTTGCCCTCACAAAATCCTCCTCAGCAGGGTTAATCTCTCCTGCCTCTCCCCCCTTAGCTGACTGATTGCTTGAAATTACCATATAGATTGAGAAAGCAAGGCCTGTGATTTCACAAGAGCTTCTACCAGGGTCCTCCAAGCCTCCAGAGACCCTCATCCAGTCTTCACCCCTGTCTGGAGCTGCTTTCCTTGGAGACCAACCCTGGCCTCTGCCTGATGAGAAGAGCAGCTTACGTTTCCAATTTGAAAGCAAAGTCAGGCAAGACAGCAACCTCCACCAGCCACATCCCGCTCCCCTCCCCTATCTCCCCTTTCTCTGCTAAATCCATTCCCCCTAAACCGGAAAAAAAAAAAAATTGCTTCAGGGGCAGCAGTCATCCCCTGCCCCACGCTGTCCAGCCCGAGACGCTCCTCCTGCAACCCAGCCGGGAAAGGAGCGGTGGGCACGACCTCTGCATCCATCTGCTGCGGCAACTGCACCAACCACCCGCGCACGGTTAGTTCCCAGAGTCTTCCCGCCTGCCCCAGGCCGACATAATGAAGCGTGCATTGATGTCGTGATCGCACAGAGTAAGACATTGCCCTTTTCCCAGTCTCGCAGCGTCCTTTCTAACCTACACAGTTACAAGCAGGGTGGCACAATCTCCAGCCTAGGTTTGAGACACAAAAGCCCTGCTCCCCTTTTCCTTTAGAGCCGGGCTGAGATGACTAGCCCTGGACGCGGGACCAGCAGCACAGGCTCCCAAAACGGGAGCTACCTCCACTGCAAACTAGAGTTAGGGCACCTGGTGCCACCGTCCTGTGTCTGCAAACCACAGCACTGCTGGCAGCGGGCACCCACACAGCCCCAGGAGACAGTGGAGCCCCCCTTAAACCACTGCTGGCATTTACCCATGAGCAGAGATGAACCACAGACCTTTCTCTCCACGGCAGACTCTCCAGCAGCAGTTTTGGGCAATCTGCTGTGACTCGTGGTAACCGCACTAAGTGTCTCTAGGGTGCTTGCTGCTCATCGTTGGAGCAGGAACTACACGGGGAAAAAAAGAAGAGGAGAAACCCTGCAGAGCTCGAAGGAGCCTACAGCCCACGGCCAGAGCCCGAGCCCAACAGTCCCCTGGGAGGATGGAACCACACGTGCTGTGGCTTGAGAGAAATGGGATTTTTATCTACACAGGGCTGGGGAACAGAAGGGGAGCTACAAGAGCGGACAAAGCACAGCAGTGCCTGGTGAGGCACTGAGACATGTCCAGAGCAGGGGCCAGGGGCAGCTCAGAGCCCCCATGCTGGGGCAGCCACCCCTGTCCCCAGCCGGGTGCTGTCCAGGTCCTCCCTCCCCAAACACACACCTACTCAGGCTGGGAGCTGAGTCCCATCCACCCCGACCACTCACCTCCAAGTCGCAGCACGAGTCCCATCAGCCCTGCCCCTTGTCAGCTCTCAGGACAGGCTGCCAGCTGCTGCCCCTTCTCTCTCACAGGAGCAGCCTCCAATTTCCATTTAAATTGAGATTTTAATGCTCCTTTTCCCCTAGTCCCTGTGTATCCAGGCTTAGCGAGTGGCTTCGGACACTTGAGTTGTGCCTGATGGGTCCCGGATACCTCTCCCTAGTTAATGATCTCTCTCTTCATGTAACCAGGCACCTAATGAGGTAACGTTGGGATCCCGGTACCTCCATAGCAGCTGCCACAGCAGCAGAGGGACACTCAGAGTGTTAAAGATGCCAGTTTGTTACCTTACTCCGCAATCCAGCTCGCACTGAATTGGATTTGAGCACCTATTTACTCAGCGTATTCTTATCTAGACTGCTCAGCGCTGACAGCCTGAAAATCCTCCCAGCTTCACAACCTGTCTGCAGGGTGAGCCAGCGCTGCTGCTCCCAGTTCACCCATGGCAAAGGCAGAGCTCCAGAAAGTGAACTGGCTCACCCGGGATTACAGGGCAGGACAGCAGAGCTAGCAACAGCACGCACAAGTCCTGACTCGCAGTCCCTGCTCCGGGATCAGCCCCAGGTAGAAATTCGTTGCACTCACCTCTGAAATACGGGCAGAGGTGTAGCAGTACGCTGCACGACTTCAGGATGGTCGGAGGAGGATGCTTCCCGGTGGAACTGCAGAGAGGAGACCTGTGCAGGAAACCCATAGCAGGAAAAATAGAAACCCATTCTGAAGCAAGATAAGCAAGGTGCATTTTTGCCAAAGCAAGCCCGAGTTACACCATTTTGGAGCTGTTGTCCATTTCCCAGACTGACCACAAAGACGTCTGTAATGTGCAGAGGTCTGTTCCATAACCTGGAAATTTTTGGCTTAGCTCATTGTCACCACCTCGTTCCTTCCTGATGCAGATGCCAGGACGGTATCAGCCATCCCTGTGACCAGCCAGGCCGCAAGTCACAGTAAGAGGTGCAGCCGGAGGGAGCTGGTGCACTGCACCGTTGGCAGAGGAGCTGGGGACTGTTGTACTGTTCCCACACACCTAAAAAAACCCCCCCAAAACCTTGTACAAATCTGTCCCCAACACAAGTTAAATGCAGACAATAACTGGACAAAAAACCCCAAAGGATCATATCACCCTCTCCATTGTCTTTCTTTGGCAGGTTCACCCCGCAACTCATCATGGATAACAGCAATACATTGAGCTACTTGCTCTTCTCCAATCTCTTTACAAACAG